TTTTTTTATTTTTTGTAGAGCTAGGGTCTTGCTTCATTGCCCATGCTGGTCTCAAACTCCTGCCCTCAAGTGATCCTCTCACCTAGGCCTCCCAAAGTGCTGGGATTACAGGCATGAGTCACTGTCCCTTGCCCTGTTTGTAAAGTTTAACTGACTTCTTACAAAAGAGGATAGAGTCCAAACTCCTTCACATAAAAGAGCCCTCATAATCTGGTCCCAACCTACATTTCCTGCAATAAACAATTGCATGTCTCAATCTTGTTCTTTCATGCATTCACTGAACAAATATTCCTCTTTTTAAACACCTCTTCTCCCTTCTGTATTTGTAGAACCTCTACATATCTTACAGTACTCAAAATATAAGTTTCAGTGAAGTTTCATATGTCTTCCAAGCAGACTGAATCCTTCCCTCTACTATACTCTCATGCCATTTTGCGTAAACCTTTTATAATAGCACTCATAAATTTTATCAGACCAATTTATTGACAAATGATATACATTTCCTTCTTCTATTCACTGTATTTCCTGCTTCTCCATACCAGCACCTGTCATATATTAAGCATTTACTCTATGTTGAATTTATAAAACAATAAATAAACTCCACAATATTTGTTGTGGGAGAATGATCTCTTCATAACTCTGTGTAATAACATAAAAGACAAATGCAGGAGCTGGACATGGTGGCTCAGGTCTGCAATTCCAACACTTTGGGAGGCTGAGGTGGGCGGATCAGTTGAGCCCAGAAGTCTGAGACCAGCCTGGGCAACATGGTGAAAGCTGTCTCTACAAAAAATACAAAAATTAGCCAGGTATGGTGGCACATGCCAGTAGTTCCACCTACTCGGGAGGCTAAAGTGGGAGATCACTTGAGCCAGGGCGGTAGAAGTTGCAGTGAGCTGAGATCGCGCCTCTGTACTCCAGCCAAGGTGACAGTGAGACCCTGCCTCAAAAAAAAAGAAAGAAAGAAAAATGCGGGTCAAAACTGGTTTGCATTAAATGTTTTCTAATAACTGTAATAACTGTATTTCATGAGAGAAGTAAAAACAGTAAAAGAATCTTGAATACCTACAGTATATCAGGCATCGTACTAGGTGATTTACAGGTATTATCTCATTTAGATCTCATTTAATCTGTAAAAGGAGGTATTCATTTTACAGATTAAGAAACACAGGTTCTGATATATTAAGTGTATAGCTTGTCTTGCATAACTTGTCAGAGCTCAGACATGAACCACGATTTATTTCAGTCAAAACCCATAGTCTTTGCAGTAAAGCCTATGTTTAAGCATGTCTATGGACTGATCACACCGGTAATCTCAGCACTTTCAGAGGCCATAGTGGGAGGATCGCTTGAGGCCAGGAGTTCAAGACCAGCCAAGCCAACATAGTAAGACTTCATCTCTACAAAAAATTATTTAAAAAACAAAAAAGCACATCCAAGTATTAGAGGGTCAGTCACCATAGTATATAAAAGTATGCCTTTGGTCTCAGACTGAGTTCACATTCTGTCTCTACAACTTAATAAGTACAGCAAATTATTTAATCTTTCTGTCCCTCCTTTCCCTTATCTATAAAATGGTGATAAATAATAGTATGTATTTTGTGGGTGGTTATGATTAAGGAATATAAATAAAATAAAGTGATTATTATACTACAATGCCTTATTCATTGAATACCTTTATAAAACCTATTCATGATAGAAAATACTATTAGAAATGCTGTTTGAAATTGGTTTTATAGCATATATGAATTTAGAAAAAAACTTCTTATATAACTTTTACAGAAAAAACTAGGCTCTGGGTAGATATAAAGTCCTATGTAGATACTTTGTGGAATGAGCTTGTTTCTTAGCATTTTATCTGACATGACCTCAAAGTTTCAGCTTCAATTTTTTTTTTTTTTTTGATGCAGTCTCGCTCTGTTGCCCAGACTGGAGTGCAATGGTGCGATCTCGGCTCACTGTAACCTCTGCCTCCCGGGTTCAAGCCATTCTCCTGCCTCAGCCTCCCGAGTAGCTGGGACTACAGGCGTCCACCACCATGCCTGGCTAATTTTTTGTATTTTTAGTAGAGACAGGGTTTCACCATGCTGGTCAGGCTGGTCTCAAATTCCTGACCTTGTGATCTGCCTGCCTCGGCCTCCCAAAGTGCTGGGATTATAGGCATGAGCCACCGTGCCCGGCCCAGTTTCAGCTTCATCTTAATTCTAATTTCTACTATGCTTTGTGACCTAGCATACCTTTTCAATCAAACTTCTTATCTCTAAGTACAGTAACATATCTTAAACTGGCTCTTTGGTTTCATTTTAGATGGTATCTCCAACATGGATGATAAACTAGAAAGAGTTCTGGTCAGGCAATCTGGATAGAGAAGCTAAGCAACATTGTACCTTCTAAAGTCATTTTCACACTTATATATTAAACACTCAGATTTATATAACAAGATACATTAAAGAAACAATGATTAAAAATATATAACCACTACACTCCATTAATAGAGATAATTAAGTTGAACATACTTAAGAATACATTGCTTTTGTGAGGATTAAAATCTAATGTTAAGCTACCAATTCATATTCACCTGAATCTTATTTAATAATAAATTTATACTCATGAATGACATTATTAACTGTCAGTCTGATGATGTTCAAGCTATTTCAGTTACCCAGACAGGTCTATAACTTACTCTAAATGTCTGGCACTTACAGACACACACACACACACACACACACACACACACAAATCCACAGTTGATTAACATCAAAAAGAAACTTCACTCTCTATACTTCTCAGGAAAGGAAAAGCTCAAAAGTTATACTTCATGGCTACTGAACAAGTTTAGGCTTTCAAATGAGATTCTTTCCATTGATTCTATAACTTATCCAATTACTCGTTCAACATGTTGAATTTCTACTGAGTAAAAGGCACATGTTTCAGGACACAAATTATATCAATTTCAAATACAATTGAGGCAGCCTAAGGAGTGTATGTAAGACCCAGGGCAAACTATTTGGTCTGTCTGAACTTTAATATTCTTATCTATAAAATAGTGGTGATAATAACTATGCTACCCCAACAATTTATTACCAGGATCAAATGAGGTACTAAAACATAGAACAGAAAAGCATTTTCACATATTAAATCCACAGTAAGTTTCTATAACAACTCAAGAGCTTATCTTGTCTCCAGGAGCACAATAAGAGACTGTTTCACTACATGATTAATGTAACAAATATTTAAGAGTCTAACACATTATGATGTGTTCAAGTACTAAAGTGCTTTAAAAATGTAGTAAGTACAGGCTGGGTGCAGTGGTTCATGCCTGTAATTTTGGCACTTTAGGAGGTGAGGTGGGTGGATCACTTGAGGCCAGGAGTTTGAAACCAGCCTGGCCAACATGGCAAAACCCCGTCTCTACTAAAAATACAAAAATTAGCCAGGCATGGTGATGCACACCTGTACTGTAGTCCCAGCTACTTGAGAGGCTGAGGCAGAAGAATCTCTTAAACCTGGGAGGCAGAGGTGGCAGTGAGGTGAGAGGGTCATGCCACTGCACTCCAGCCTGAGTGACAGAGCAAGACTCCATCTCAAAAAAAAAAAAAAAAGTAGTAAGCACAAATGCTTTCCTTAGGAAGCTTACATTATAGTAGGGATAATAGAACTCTCAAATAACCACAGTACAATGCAAATTTAACAAGTATTATAAGATTTATAAAGCCCAGCACACATGAAGAAAAAAAATGGGCTGGGCGTGGTGGCTCACGCCTGTAATCCCAACACTTTGGGAGGTCAAGGCAAGTGGATCACCTGAGGTCAGGAGTTCAAGACCAGCCTAGCCAACATGGTGAAACCCCGTCTCAACTAAAAATACAAAATAATTAGCTGGGCATGGTGGTGGGCACTTGTAATCCCAGCTACTTCGGGAGGCTGAGGCAGGAGAATTGCCCTAACCCTGGAAGCGGAGGTTGCAGGGAGCCAAGATCACACCATTGCACTCCAGCCTGGGCAACAAGAGCAAAACTCTGTCTCAAAAGAAGAGAAAAAGAAAAAGAAAAAAAAGAATGAACTGGATTTGGCAGATTTCAGAAAGCTGCATAAGAAAGAGGTGGCATTTAAGGAATTGAAGAATAAGTAGAATTTCTACAAAGACAGCAAGGAAGGCCTTCCTTGTTTCTTCTTTGTAGGAAGAAAGGATAAAAGCAAAGACCAAGGCAGATAGGCATATAGCATGTTCAGAAACTGGACGTCTAATTAACTACTACAGTTTGGCTAAAAAATAGGATATGTGGAAAAAAGTAATATTTGTTTAACAGAATAAAAGGAAAAAAGAATTAAAGGATCATATTGATTTTACTGGAGCCATAGTCAGACTGAAATTTTGAAGGAAAAATTTGAAGCCTCCCTAAATAATATAAAGTGTATTAAATGCCTCCCTAAATAATTTACATTTTATTCTGAAGCCGATTGAGAATCACTGCGTATTTCTGAGGAAGGAATAACCAAAAAAAGAAAGGCATAAGATCTTTGGCTTTAAAAGTAATTTGGAGGCAAGTAACTGGAAAGGCGCCAGGCTGAGGACAAGTCCAGTTTGGAAGTTACTGCTCTAGCGCAAGTAAGAAGAGGAAAGCCGAGCATATTTAGCAGAGAGGTAGTGGGAATGAAAAAGGGGAGAACTAAATTTGAGATGCTGAAGAGATAGAATCAACAGTTGGGAGGAAAGTTAGCATCAGAAATTTTACGTTTACAAGTCATTCCCTTGAAACACCCTGAGTTTACCAGTGAAAGTGAATAAGAACACCAAGTAAGAAACTGCACCAAATTTCACCTTTAACTACTAAAGCCGAAAGATGACTTCAAAAACAAAAAGACTTAATTTTCAAATACTGCATTTAAGAGAACATAATAAAAGATCGTCTTTTACGATAAAGCAATGCACCCACACACCTGTTCTGATGAGAATTTCACCCCGCCTCAAACAGTCCTTGTGTTCTTACTAGCCTTACCAAGGGCAGCCTTTCCATTTCTTTAAGTTCCTGCGGCTTCTTGAGCTCCAGGTGCTGGTCGGGTGCATCTGTGTCTACCACAGGGCTCAACACCGAGTGAGAGCTCATGGGATGTTCACTGAAGGGATGTGACCGCAGCCGGGCCCAGCCGTCACTAGCTCCGCACGCCCCAGGCGCTGAGGCACACACTGCCGTCTTCATTCGCTTGACACACCCCTCTCCTCGGGCCTTTTTTCCTCCTCCACCCAGCACATTCCGCACGTCGTCCGTCGGAGTTACAACGTGTCACCTCATCTGCTCCCAACCCTATTTAGCTAGCACTGTATTTCAGGTCTTCGATACCGTCCCCTTCACCCCTGCAGACTTCACATCAGCCCCCTCGCATGCCTCCTCTTCCTCCTCCTCCTCCTCCAGGAGCTTCCCGGGCCACCCCGCAGCCGCTGGCCTCCTGGCTCCTGCCCCTCCCCAGGTGCGCTCAGGACTCACCTCCCGCGCAGCTCGACCGGCTGAGCCCACCACCGCGGGCCGCGGTTCAGCTCCGCCGGGCGCCCCAGGCTGCCGAGTCCGCTGGGTCCAACGCGACCGCTGACCCGCAGCGCCGCCGTCTCCCGTCGCCGTAGCCACCGCCAGCTCGGTGCAGCCCAGGCGTTTCCGGGTTCCCGCGGTCCCGTCCCCCAAATGCTCCGGCTTCCGCCTCGGCTCTGGCAAATGCCGTTCCCGGCTCGGCTCTGGCAGCCCCCGCTCGGCACTTGGCAGCTCCGTCCCTAAGGCGACGCACCTGGGCTGCTCTGCTGGCAGCCCCTGGTTCCTGCTTCACCGTCGCGTGGAGGCCTGGAGCACTGCTTTCTGCTACACCTCTCTTAGGAGCGCGAGACAGATAGAGTGACACTCGTCGAGGGCCTCTGCGGGACTGTCTGTTTGCAGAAGGTGCCAAGGTGTCCACTGCGAAAGAAAGGGCAAAGTCCTTTGGGGCAAAGAACCCTGAGAGGAACGGGGAAATGGATTTTGAAAGCAAACGAACCCGCTCCTAAAAGTGACTGTCACTGACCTGAAAACAAACCAGATTAGCTATGGCAAAGGCTGCCAATCAACCAGTGGTCTGCAAGAAGGCTTGTTCTTCCACTTCTCCCACCCTGACTGAAATCTTGAGACTGAGGGAAACCCAGAGCTATACCACCAATGGGCCTGGTGTCATCAATCAGGAGAGGAAAAAGAAAGCTGGGCCCAGAGGATTACAGAGTTATAAGGGACCTACCCCTTCCTGGCTGCATGGATTACACCATTACCTTTTAAAAGTCTTCCAATGGCTGTGTTGGAAACCCTCTAACTACTGCAGCCCATTCAGGTGATGAACAGGCTGAAATCAGTACTTCAGGTTCAGCTGGGTTATCAAATAAACGAACAGGATTATCTCTTTTTGTTAACTCAGTGCTGCTATAAATTCAGCCTATGTCTCTTTATATTGTAAATTATTAAAACCATGTCCAAGAGAGACATACTTAGAAAAAAAGTGAGATTGAAGAAAAATAAATAACTGTGTTAGAGTAGAATAACTGGCTTTAAAATTTTCTGCAATACAATCTTGAGAAAATTCCTGGACAGTAAAATACATATTAGATCTTAATATATGTCCAGTTTTTTTGAAACCAAAATGTGCCTGTTAGATGATGATAACAGCATGCCTCGTTTTATTGGGATTTGCTTTGTTGCTCTTAACAGACATTGCTTTTCTTTGCTTTTTTGTTTGTTTATTTGTTTTTACAAATTGAAAGTTTGTGACAACCTTGCCTCAAGCACATCTATTGGTGCCATATTTCCAACAGCATGTGCTCACTTTGTGTCTCTGTGTCACATAATATTCAATAATTTTTGCAATATTTAAATTTGTTCATCATTATATCTGGTATAGTGCTTTGTGATCAATGATTTTTGATGTTACTATGGTAATTGTTTTGGGGTACTGTTATGGTTTGGCTGTGTCCCCACCCAAATCTCAACTTGAATTGTATCTCCCAGAATTCCCATGTGTTGAGGGAGAGACCTAGGGGGAGATAATTGAATCATGAGGGCCAGTCTTTCCTGTGCTATTCTCATGATAGTGAGTAAGTCTCATGAAATCCGATAGGTTTATCAGGGGTTTCCACTATTGCTTCTTCCTCATTTTTCTCTTGCCACAGCCATGTAAGAAATACCTTTCACCTCCCGCCATGATTCTGAGGCCTCCCCAGCCATGTGGAAACTGTAGGTCCAATTAAACCTCTTTTTCTTTCCAGTCTCGGGTATGTCTTTATCATCACCATGAAAATGGACTAATACAGGTGCCACGTACTGCACTCATATAGGAAGACAAATTTAATTGATAAATGTTATGTGTATTCTGACTACTCCAACAACTGCCTGTTTCACCACCCTTCTCCCCCTTGGACCTCCCTATTTCCCAATACACAGCAATATTGAAATTAGGCCAATTATTAACCCTACAATGGCTTTGAAGGAAATCAAAATATTTCACCCCAAAATATACTTCTTTGACATACTTTGAGATGACTGTTTAGAGGGCCTGCAATCAGAAGCATGCCAGATGTGGTGACTCATGCTTGTAATCCCAAGACTTTGGGAGGCTGAGGCAGGCAGATTGCTTGAGCCCAGGAGATTGCGACCAGCCTGACCAACATATTGAGACCCCATCATTATAAAAAACAAAAATTTAAACATGTGCCTGTCATAATGGTACATGCCTTTAGTTCTAGCTACTCATAAGGGAAGCTGAGGTGGGATGATCGCTTGATCCCAGGAGTTCAAGGCCACATTAAGCCATGATCATGTTACTATACTCCAGCCGGGCTGATAGAGCCAGACCCTGTCTCAAAAAAAGAAAAGTAGCCCAGTAGCCCTGCAAAACTGTCTCTTGTAGGACAGATTTGCATCTGTTGAGAATCTGCGTTAATGTAGCCAGGCTTTCTCTGAGGCCCTTCCTTGTCCAGATCTAGGAAAGATTAACTGAGATTCTGACACCTTTAAAGGTCTGAAAGAAACTTCCACCATCTGTTCTCTCTGAGGGCTGCTACCCACCTTTGCTAGTCAGACCTCTGCTTCTCTCCCTCCTGTAACTTGTTTTGCCACTATAACCTGATTTACCACCATAATCTACTTTTGGCCATGCTTGAAACTCTCATTCTTTCTAAAGATGGTATATACCCTTGTGTACTATGTGGGGGATAAGACTAATCACCCTGTGATTTCTCCTCATACACACCAATAAATTTCTATGCCTTTTTTCTTTTTTCTTTTCTTTTTTTTTTTTTTTTTTGGAGTTAGGGTCTCGCTCTAGAAGGAGTGTAGTCGCATGATTATGGCTCACTGTAGCCTTGACCTCCAAGGCTTCAGTGATCCTCCTGCCTCAGGCTCCCGCTTAAGCAATCCTCCTGCCTCAGCCTCCTGAGTAGCTGGGACTACAGGCACATGCCACCATTCCTGGCTAACATTTTTTTTTACTTTTTGTAGAGATGGGTTCCCACTATTTTGTGCAGGCTGGTCTCAAACTCCTGAGCTCCAGTGATCTTCTTGCCTCAGCCTGCAGTATTGGGATTACAGGCACGAGCCACTGTGCCCAGCCTGCCTCTTCTGTTATTAATCTGACTTTTGTCCGTTGATTATTTAGCCAACCTTCAGAGGGTGAAGGGGAAGCTACAAAATCTCCCCAGGGCAAGAATGTCAGCTGAGCCTGAACTGCAAGTCTGGACATCCAACAATTCAAGTCAGTACCCAAGGTCTGCAGCTCTTTTAATAAGAACAATCATATTACCCTTGAGGGATTTGCCTGTATTTTCTCATTTAACTCTCACAGCAGCCTTATAAAGTAAGCATTAGTATCGTATTTTATAGAAAGAGCAACTGAGGTTTACAGACAGGTAACTTTCTGAAGTCCCCACATCTACTGAAAAATAAGTTGGGATTTAAATCCTTATTTGTCTCCCTTTAAAGTCCATATTTTAAAACATGACGCTTAGCTGCCATAGGAAGAAAAAAATGAGACAGAAGAGAAAGTTGGCAGACAGCAAAAGTAGCAATAGAGATAAGAATTATCAGTGAAGAAAAGAGATGAACATGAAGAAAGAGAGAAAAACAGCAATCTGGGACACTGGCCCGGAGGACTAGCTTTGGCTTCTCTATCATAGCAGATCTTACAGGTGAAATTTTGGCACCATGAAGACAGACAAATGAGAACAAGATATTAGTCTAAAGGCAGCCAGGGCCAAATAGGACTATGTATCTCAATTGGTACCTAATTAGAATTGTCAGATAAAATACAGAGGCCTTCACCTGGTGCGGTGGCTCACGCCAGTAATCCCAACACTTTGGGAGGCCGAGGCGGGCAGATCACCTGAGTTTGGGAGTTCAAGACCAGCCTAACTAACATGGAGAAACCCCATCTCTATTAAAAATAAAAAAAATTAGCTGGGCATGCTGGCACATGCCTGTAATCCCAGCTACTTGGGAGGCTGAGGCAGGAGAATTGCTTAAACCCGGGAGGCGGAGGTTGCAGTGAGCCAAGGATCACGCCATTGCACTCCAGCCTGGGCAACAAGAGGGTAAACTTTGTCTAAAATAATAATAATAATAATAATAGCAACAGAGGCCTTGTTAAATTTAAATTTCAAATAAGCAACGAAATATGGAATATTTGCGATATACTTTAAAAAATTCATTGATTATCAGAAATTCTAATTTAGCTGGATATCCTGTAATTTTATTTGCTAAATGTGGCAACCCTATTGAACGCATAAATGCATTGTGATATTGTACAATAACTGGGATTCCCTATGATGCCCCAGAGAAATGAAGGCCAGATCAAATTATGTTTAGTGCAGTTGACACTGCAAACTTTATGCACACAAAGTGACATTCTCTAGATCAGTATCTTCAGACAGTGCCAAGCTGGTAGACTTTAAAGGATAAAGGTCAGAGGTTGTTAGAAAACCCAGGAGAAAATAAAGACAAGACAACAAACAAGAAAGAAAGAGCGCAGGGACTATGTTGATAGACGTTTTTAAAGAATTTCTGCTCAAAATGGTTGAAATACTGAAAAAAAATTTCAGTGCTTAGAGAATTAAACCGCAGGTTTCCAGGTGTCACTTACCAAATATTTTGTTCCTATGCCATCATAACTTTTAAAACTATTTGACTGAAATTACAGCTCAGGAGCAGGAAAAACCAGTTTGTTGTTTCAAGCTGCCAAATCATAGTAATTGAATCTGGCTTTTTCTTGTTAGTTCTTCAGAGGGAAAAAGAAACCTATGTGTTAACAAAACTGGAAAGGATTGACAAAGATTATCTACTTGTCCATCGTTTACTTCTAAGAAGACTTGAGTGAGGTTACTTCCATTATAAGAGCTCAACTGTCAATATGAACATGGTCCTTTGATTTTGAGATGGATCTATAGAGTTTAGCATTCTCTAGAACATGGATCTGATAGGTTTGAAATAAAACTTACTTTTCATTTCTGAGGAGGAGTATTTCAGAGGCTTCTGGTTTTTTCCTATAGTAGAGTTACTTTTCGAGTCAGGGGCCCAGGAGATTTCACGGAGGTGAGGCCCTCTCCTCCCTCTGTACATTCAGAAAGTGGAGAAACTACCCTGCATGATTGCTGCCCTATGGGGCTTGTTGATCAAAGCTTCAGTTATCACTTGATGCTCTAAAGTCTATTTGGGAATCAATGAATTGGTTTCATCTCAGAGTCAGGGTTAAATGTAAATTAATGCCTTGGAGATTCCCCTGTATCTAACACAGTTACCTGATAAAATCACCACAGCTTCCTTTGTGGAAGACTAGGAAAAAGTGCACAGTATGTATAGTATGCACTTGTGCTGTTAAAGGGACGTCTTAAATCTGGGAATGGGGGCTACAACTCTAGTAAAGTTGGGCCTCTATTTACCAGTCCTAGTGTACATTTGATTATGAAGTCCGTATGCAATTGGATTGTGCTGTTCACCAACTATTTCCCAGTCTCAACCTGCAGGGCTCTTCTTAAAGTAGGTCGCACTGTTAGACTCTCTTGTGGTTGAGTGAGACCACATGTCCAGTTCTGGCCAATTACCTCCGGGCCAGGGCATTGAATTGCCAATTTATGACTGTTTAGAATCCTCTTTCTCTCTGCTTTTGAGTCTGGGAATGTGCAGCATCATGAATGCTTCATCATCAGACTGTATCCTAGAATTAGGAGATGTGTAACCTGCAGTAAACATACAGCATGAACAAGAAATACATTTTTATTATTTTATGTTACCAATGAGAAAAGAAAAATAGCTCAGGGCAGTCTGAGCTTTGGGAGGTATGCAGTCCCAAAGTGACAAGAGCATGGGACTTTGATCATTCTTGCCTTCCATCCTCCAACTCCCACTCCACATCCATGCTTGGGGACAATTGTTGTTCCTGACTAGCTGCCTCAGCCATCATCTTTGTGTTGCCAGAATTTATGATGCAAAACAACAACAACAACAACAACAATGTATAGCCTATCAATAGCTTTGGTTATTTTAATGTAAATTCTTGGTAAACAAGTCAGGAGCTGCCTCTTCTTTTCCTTTAAAAATCCATTTGTAACTGCTGCTAATCAGAGGGTATGTTCAGGGCAACTTGAATCTGTACTCCTGAGTTGCAATCCTCAAGCTTGGCCCAAATAAACTCTCTACTTATATGAATTTTGCCTCAGTGTCTTCCTTTGAGGTCACATTAAGATTCTGCCAATTTCCAAGCACTTGGGAGTTGAAAAAAAAATTGACAAAACCTAGCATACATAGATTAATACAAAAACTTATGGCCAGAGATGGATGTATATTAACAAAAACATGACTTTTGTGACTTTGACTTAGGGGCCAAGTGATGGGGGCAAGCAAACTGATTTTAGCAGCTGGAAGAATGATAACCCATGGTGTGCTATGGAATATTTGATAAAACTGTGACCTGCAATTACTTAAAAGTTAAATAATAAACATAGTAAGTTTATAGCTCCAGTGCAAGAGACTAGAAAATAAAATGTTAATAGCATGTGTAGGTTAATGTTTGATGTATTTGAAAGACACTTCATGAAAGAGAAATACCCAAAAAATAATTTACTGATTTGTTAGCAGGAATAGAAAGGAATAAAGACAACATAGAAATTCAGGAACTGGCAGAGTTGACAATGGCAAATACTTTTCTTTTTTTTTTTTTTTTTTTTTTTTTTGAGACGGAGTCTCACGCTGTTGCCCAGGCTGGAGTGCAGTGGCGCG